AAAACACAGGAATGAAATGGCTGAATTACCTCCTCCTTGTGTAGACAAGCTCTCCAGTCTTGCTAATGACCTAATTATTGTATTCAGGTGTGGTGTAGCAGAGGCACATCTAAAAGTTGCAGGACACCGGCCCTCGAGGACTGGAGTTTGACACCCCTGTTGTAGACCATTAAACAGAACCTGTTGAGTTGCAGTCAGAAACCATGGAAGACCTTTCAGTCAGTATTAAATATGGCTATGAGGCACCAATATAAATATGAATTTATTCCAATAAATTCTAAAGAACAATTGTTATTCTGAACCATCTCCAGGTAACATGTTGTAACATTTATCTGAGAACTTAGAAAATACTCTGGATTTTTCATTAAAAAAAATATATATTTTTTTTCAAATAAAACATATCCACATATTTAATTTCTGCAGTTAATTTAAGCCTAGCATTTATTTAGGCGTTATTTATTTAGCATTTATTTATTTATTTCCCCTGCATCAGGAATGGACTTCCCCTGATGCAGGATGCTGAGTCAGCAGTTGTTCCTCCTCCGTTTCCTGCCCCTGCCCTGCAGTGCCCCCTTCTGCTTCGTTCCACAGCCATCCTGCAGCAGGGCAGGCTGCTCCTGCTCCCTGTCTGAGTCTGCTGCCATCGTGTCTTTGCTGGGGACAGGGAAGGCCTGTAGGGACAGCCTCTGAGTGAGCAAGAGAGGGCAGGAGCCCAGCAGCGCTCTGACGGCCTTTAGCAGCAGCTGGTTGTTCCTGGGCTCAACTGGGCTGCTGGTTTCTATGGAAACGGACAGTGTGAGGACTTGCTTGGAGGCGGAGCAGAAGCATCTTCAGGTGGATGTGGGTCTTACCTGCAACTTTTTCTGCTGAGCTCTGCTGCTTCTCTCTGAGGCTCTTCCTCAGGGCTGAAACCTCCAGCTGCAGCGCTTCTACTTCACGCTCGCTCTCCTCCACCTCTCTGCATGCTTTCTGTCCACACACACAGCAAAATAGACTTTCACAGTCAGATTAGCGTCAGAACTCAAACTTTAAATACAACAGTAAAGAGGAGAGGAAGGAAAAGAGAAATGTAGAGAAGAGGGAGGAAAGGAGAATAAAGTGTGGTTTATCTGGTTCTACTAGAGATTTCTTTCTCTTCAAGGGAGTTTTTCCTCTCCACTGCGTGGTCAGTATGAGGGATTTCTGTAAAATAAACCCGAGTTGCCCACCTCTGATGTAAACAATTGTCTCTGCGTGTTCATCCAGGAGGAGTGAACGCTGCAAGTCAATGATTTGATTTGATGCAAGCTGATGGGTTTTCTTAAACTGTTTAAGAAACTTTAATGTACAACTCTTAACTGTTTGATAATTAGTTTAAATTGGAATGTATGTGGGATTGAATTGAAATGAATTTTTGTGAAATACCTTGAGATGACATTTGTTGTAATTTGGTGCTATATAAATAAACTGAATAGAATAAAGGAAGGAAAAAGTACAAAATGGATGGGAAAAAGAAAAATGGGACAGATGGAGAGGAGAGTCAAGCTAGGAAGTAAGGAATGACAAAAACGCAAAAGGGGTGAAAAAATAAATAATTAAAGGGAGTGTGGATGGAATCACACTCTGGAAATACAAATATTTTTCCATACTAATCCAGAATGGGGAAATAAATAAACTTCCAGACTTTTCCAGACCGTGTAGGAACCCTGATGATGAGAATGTTGTGACGCTCCTTCACTCCTCCCTCACCTGTAGCTCCACTTGCAGAGAGTCGTTCATCTTGTTCATCTCATCTACCTCCTTCAGCAACCCACTGGGGGAGAAGAACCTGGACCTGGAGCAGACGGGGAAGCTTTGTGAGCAAGACAACGGCTGCTACACATCTGAGCCGGCCTGAAAGCAAAGCTACCTGTGTTTGTTCATGGTGAGGCTATAGCCTGAAGCGGAGCAGGGAGCGGACATCTTCCAGTAGCCCTGCTGCTCCAGGAGACCCAGGTTGGTCACCAGCACCGGGATGTTCACGAAGCGCCTGAAGAGAGCAGAGGACAGCACTCCCTCAGTAAACACACCAAGCCGACCCGTCCCACTGGAGCGGGCATCACCTGCTGCGGGATGTGAAGGCGGAGTACTCCATGCGGTGGGTGGAATCTGTGGGGGTCACCCTGCTGGACGTCAGCAGCAGGAAGATCATGTGGGGGTTCTTCAGAGCGCTCTTCAGCTTGTCATGGACCAGCTTCTCCCTGAACGTCATGCGCTGCTCTGAGTGTCGGCGCTGCCGGTACCAGCCAATAACACTGTCCTGCACCACAAACACTAAACTTCACTCAGACACACTCACACCCCACCTGTCATCACACTACATCATACAAGAAGTGCTCACTACCACTACACTGGTAGAGATGCACCGATGCAATATTAATATCTATACTGATCCTGATGTTGAAAAAAATTTCAGATCAGGTATTGGTGACAATGTGCCTGATCAATCCTGCTAAGTCTGTACACCTGAAAAGCATCCAGCAATACTAATGTCATTAGGCCCACAGTCAACTCTTACTTTAAAAAGACATAAGACATGCTTGTCTCTTAATTACTGAGATTTTGGACAAATTGTGAAAGACCAACAAAACTGAAAACCAATTAAGGGTTTGTAGATGATTGGTGAAGAAAAAATCTGAAAGGTGCAGCATGCATGTGCATGTCACCCATTTCATTTTAATGCCCTAAAATAAAATAAAATCACCTTTAGATATTAACTCAGGCTGTGTCCAGTTTTATCTCAGTATAAATGCAGCTGTTCTGTTTCTGCTTAGTCAGCATCATGAAGACCAAGAAACTCAGCAGATGGACCTGGGAGGAGATTAGGATAAAAAACTAGATCCCAAGCTTTAGACTCCTCACAGAACTCTGATTCATGTGAACGTGGAGCGACTGTGGACAGAAAAGAAAAAATAAAAAGGCAGAATGGCCTAGTCAAATGTCTGACCTTCAACTGTGAATATGTGGCAAAATTGATTTTGAGAGAGGAAGGAGATCAACTTTGTGTTGTGGACGTTATGAGCCAATTACACAGAGAAAGGTAGAAATACTTTTGCAAGCGAATAAGGTAAGTCATACAGGTTAGAATACAACCCCAATGTATGCTACACATTATATGATAATCCCACATATATTACATACCCAAATTAACCTCACAGTCATATTCTTAGGCTTTGGGAGGAAACTAGAGTACTCCGAGAGAACCTATACATCCACAGGGACTGAACCCAAAACCTTCTCGCAGCAAGGCAGCAGTGCTAGAACTGTGCGGGCTCACACATTAAACACATCAAGCTACATAAAATATATATATATATATATAAAAAAACCTGAAATGTTACCAAACCTTCCACAGAGAGCTGAACCAATCCCTCACCAACCTGCTTGTTATCTGCAAGCATCTCCTGCAGCACGTCCAGGTTCACCTCACCAGAGCTGCTGTACAGACTGACACACACACACCCACACCCACACACACACACACACTGTCAAACAGCACACACACATACAGTAACACTGTGCTGATGGCTGATCTGCAGGACTCACGTGTTTAGCTTAAGGCATGCGACGTGCTTCTGGATGTCTGTCAGACAAACACATTACACACACCGGTGACACACAACTGCTGAGCTCTACATACAGCTGAACATTTGTTAGAGTTTAAATCATATTTTTTAGAATTTTTTGTGTACACAAAATGAGAATATAACACACCAAGTCTAATAACAATCCTCCATGACTCAATAATGGTACTGCACTAGTGAGTACTCACTGTATATTTCTTCAATGTGAATGTGGTCAGACTGGGAGTCACTGATGGTGACCTGTTCATGGAAGCTGCTTTCTCCCAGCACCAAGCCTTCCTGGCAGATGAGAGAGTAGACAGCAGACATCAGGCTGCAGTCCAGCATGAATTGTTCTCTGCTGCAGGAATTATCTCCTCAAGGTGTTATGAACAGTAAGACTTGTGATAGAGCGATGTGCTGCAAAAACAGGAAGACTTATTTCTCCTACTGGTTTATGTGAACTGTTGTCTGCAGAAGTGGAAGAGTTCTTTCCTTTCTGCCCACTAAATTAGAGTACAGTCCTCTTATACTGTTAATGTTCCAAAGCCTTCATCAACATGGAACATGCAGTTAAATGTACTGTACATTTAAAGAAAATCACTATAAATTATAACGTGTCTCTCATTATGCCCTTTCAACAAATAATAATAATTAGTTATATAATTCCGCCCTGAAAAAAACTCAATATTAAAAAGCCCAAACTACGAGTATTATTGTATCCCTCCTGCCATCACAACAGAGCTAAGATTCAAGTTAAAAATGGCCCTCTGAATCTCACTTTCAAACTCCATGTATGCCGAATATATCTGCAGTGTACAGCAGTTCTGCTGATGCACTTAATCAGTTCCTCATTATGTATTTTCTACTTGTAAATGCATTACTCCTCGACATTTCAAAAATACTTGAGCAGAGTCTGGTGTGTTAGCTTGGTTTTAGTGTCACTGGAGCAGCTTTGAATGCTCTCGTGCATTTCATTCCCCGCAAAACGTTAAGTTACAAATAGGGCAGTTTAAATGCAGTTGACTATAAATTAATTTTGCAACTTCTTTGCCAACTGCCATAACTAGAAACAGCGTCGCATCGTCAGCAAGACTCGGAAAGCTCGACTGTAAAAGTTCTAAAAGACTTTCTCACCACGTCCGAGTCGTTGTTGACATGCTGGAACATGAGAGAAGCTAAAACAGTCCCCGAAATACGGACACTAGGCTCCGACATGATGCCTCTACATTTATCAAATCCAAACAGCCGCCTTCTTCTACTTCTTCTTCTTCTTCTTCTTCTTCTACTTCCACGCGCATAGCGGTATACCACAATACTATATCTGCGTAGTTGCCGCCATCTACCGTACCGGAGTATACTCAGTTTCTTGACGAGCTTGGCTGTGCCTGTGGGCAGATTTCACAACGCCCACAGGGAGCGAGCGAGTCCTCGTTCTTCTGTCCGTGGACCAAACACATCCAGAGGTTCTGCTGGGATCAGCTGGACGCTGAAGGACCCTCCACTGTCAGGTCTGTTCTGCTATACCCACCCATGACATTTTTGTCAGTGCTAGTTTGGTTGTTTTAAACATAGAGCTGCTAATGTTTCCACAGGAAGTCCTCTCCCTTCAACAGGACGGTCACTGCAGGTCATTTATTAAACTTTTTTGCGCTGTCATATTTTCATCTACCTAACTATATATAACTTATTATTTCTTGTGGTTTGTTAACTAACATGCAGTGAATGCACGTGCACAGTTGACGCTTTTTAGTCCTCAAAAGTTTCTGAATTTAAATAAACAATAATATTTCATATTTGAGCTGTACCTTACCGTCCTTTGGTCGTGTTTATTAAATTAATAGTAATATGACTGTAAAATGACTCTTGATAGTTTAAAATCAAAAAGGGTGTCTTATAGAATTCTGTCTCAGTAAGCAGGACTAACATCAGCAGTTCTGTGTGTGTTATGCTTGGGTGTGCACGTGTGTTTAAGTATTTTCACACTCATTTACAGGAACAGTTGGGCATCAAGTTAAGCTTTAAGAAGCAATGGAGCAGTTTAAAGTCTTCAGGTCATCATGTGTTATCAGGCAGTAACCTCAGCTTTGGATGTCTGCCTCGGGTCAGCAGACACTCTAACTCTGACCCTCTGTTGGATTCTGCAGCATTGTTACCTATGAACTGGATCATGATCAATATTATGTAGCAACTGATTGTGAAAACACTCCTCTTGTAATTCCCCCACTTATCCTGTCTGGTTCCCAGTTAAGATGTGCCAGCTCTTTGCAAATAGAACCGTTTCTAGTTTGCACCAAAGGAGGAGAGAAACGATTATTAGTGTGTCACAGCAGTTCGCTTGTTAGACTGAGAAGGATGGTTACTGGTTTGCAGATGATGAGGTGACCTCAGAGCTGCGGTGATGGAGAACCTTGGGTGTGTGGCTGGGCCCATTTTCCAGCTGTGGATGTTCATGGTGGTGTTCATCGTGCTTCCCGCCATGTTCGGCCTTTCTCTGGGGGTCACCGAAGTCTACATCCAGGTTCTGGTCAAAATACTCGAGGTAATGTTCTTATTCTCTGTTCTGTTTGAGTCTTCACTGGAAAGTTGTTGTGTGTCTTTGTTTAAGCATGCAGCAGTGTGTTGTTCAAAATCATCTGAAAATGTGTTGCAGTGGGCCACATTACGCATCCAGAGGGGTCGGCAGGAACAGCCCAGCGCCCCAGTCCTTCTGCATACAGGTTAGTCCTGTACGCCCATGGAAGCATTACAGGTTTTTATGGAGATATTCAGATTCTCTTCCTCAGTCATAAAATATCCACGTTAGACTGATTTGTGACCCTGTTTGTCTGATTCTGATGTTCCTGCTGGGAGGGACTGGCCTGTCCTCCACCTGCCGACTGTGACAATATGATCCACATATTGATGGACTTTGATGAAATAACCAAATAAGTAGTGCAGAAATCAGGAGTTATCTCACTTTAGTGACAAAAAACAATAGAGGAAAAGGCAGATTAAGGCAATTAAACACTAAAAAATAACCAAAGACATGAAGACAATTGGAAAAATGCACAAATAACAGTAATACAATAAAAATTTATAGCAGATAAAAGAAGCAGTTTATTACACATGTCATGCAATTAAAACTTAATAATTTCATAAATTCTAAGCAGCAGGAATAACCTGTAATTTTTATTGATGAAATAAATGACATTGAAAATGGAACAAAGTAACTAAACATAGATGGAGCAAATAAAAAAAGTTCTAAAATAACAAATAATTTTGATTATAACAATGATATCGCTAAATGAGTATTACAAATGAATAACGTAAGACTGAACTTTATTAAAACGGAATGTTTGAAGTCCTCAGTTACTTTCTTCACTAACATCCCTCAGCTAGAGGAGCGCAGCTCTAAGTTAAAAGGTTTCCCTGTAGTGGGACTCTGAAACCTTGGTTGCAACATCTGGAGAAGTTCTGCCACGCTGCTGCTGATCCTGTATGAGGCGGTCCTTGGCAGATTCTTGTTTGGGCTTTAGTACACAGTGTTCTGCTGCAGGAAGGATTTGTTTTTCTAACACATGGCGATCATGTGACGCTGTGAGAGAGAATCAGGACTGCCTATTGGTCAGCTGCACCATCTGATGTTGGGGTTGTTGCTCTGTGTGGGAAAACTCCTGGCTCGTCTCATGTTGATGATGCAACAGCAGGTTGTGTAACGGTAGCCAAAGAGCAGACTGGGATCAAATGTTTGTTTAAATTGAATGACTAGAAACACTGAAACACAGTGAAGCACTTCTTCTGAGTAATGAAATGTGAAAAATGTTCACATTTGCCTCCTGGCAAGAGGTGATCATTTATTTTTGGAAATAAGTTTGAGAAAACAAACAAGCAGAGAGATGATAATGAAAGAAATCATTAAGAGTAGATAGTATTACCTGCAGCTTTGGATACCCATTTGTTTGTGAGAATATCCACTGTCTGGCATTTCTGATCTTACACAACAGAAAAGTATCAACTCTTCTGGCTACTAGAATAAATCCATATTATTAGTACAGAGAGCTTAAGGTGATAGCCAGTCCTTTGCTGGATATGGTGTGTAGGTGTGGAGATGTCACCGTAATGCCCAGACTGGAGCTGTTCAGTTCAACTTGCAAACTTCAGGTCCATCCATCCCATTCATATAATTAGTTCTCAGAAAAATTGGTATGAAAAAGAAAACAGGAAGCTGAGGGAGACTTGGCTGTGCCTGTGGGATTAAACATGAGGTCAGCAGCCTCATGATCCTCCACATGCTGTCAACATTACACACATTGTTCAGCACTTGCCTGAATCTCATTTCATCTTCATTTTCCCAGCACACAAACAACCGTGTGAGGAAAGACCAACTATTGTTTTCATATTGAGCTTTCAGGGAGCTGAAAGCTCAGTAAGCTCAGTACTGCCTTATCTGCACAAACTGACCACAAGTGTTCCCATGCATGAACTGGAGAGGAACTGGACTGTATGGTTGGTCGACTCTTGAAGTGCCGTTGACATTCTGCACTAATGTAAATGACCAGATGCCACATAAGGTGCAAAAACCCCCATTGTGGGTCTAAACTGATGCATTGTCAGTATAAAGTCTTGTATGAGATATTCTTAACAGGGTGAATCAAACAGTATCAACCTGTTCATATCTGCCACTGTAACTTCAGAAAAAGCAATTGCATCTTTTCTTTTTTCTTAATTTGTCTAAAGATAGTTCTTAAACAAGCATCACTGGATCTTTACTGGACTTTTCTATTTTTTAACTTTGTGTCTTGCTGAACCTCAGTGGAGGCTTTTGTCCTCCTCTAGGCTTTAAACAGATTTTGAAATGAAAGTCTGTTTTAATAATTTGAATCATTAAAACATCATGTGATGATGAAAAAATTATGTCAAATAGTATGCTTTTCCATAAAAATCTAATAACTTAAAGTCGAGCCCATGGCCTTTTTTTCTGCTGTGACATGAAGGTAGAACTACCTCTGGTTCTGCTGGTTGTCTTGCAGGGATCATAGAGCGAGTGGGGGGTTCCATGGAGGAGGAAATGTGGCAGCTCCGGTGCTCTCGGCCCGAGGCGGTGGTGGCATTCTGTTTGAGCGATGGTGTGTATTTCTGTAAGAAGGGTCTGGAGAGCATTGTGGAGGACCAGGTGACGCAGAGATTTTCCTCAGAGGAGTTAGCTTCCTGGAACCTTCTGACCCGCACCAACCAAAACTTCCACTACATCAGCCTCCGCCTCACCATCATCTGGGGCCTCGGAGTCTTTGTGCGATACTGCATCCTCTTACCCTTAAGGTCAGTCAGTGTGTTACAGATCAGCTTCCCAGAGGCTGAGACAGACTTGAGACTAGAAGTTGCTAAGAGTTCAGCTTTCTCTGGCTGACAGTGACCAAACACAAAGACTGAGTCGTGACAGGAATATATTCTGTTTTATTATTTGGTATGGAGTCAGATCAAATGATATGAAACACAGAGTAGTGCTCCTCTCACAGGGGTTTCTCTGTTATAAATCAGAAAAAAGAAGAAGTATTTCAACACAAAGTTCAATCTGTGAGGAGTTTAGCATAAATCTGTTAGAAAACTATGTGACTTTCTGCAGGATTGCTCTTGCCTCTATCGGTCTCTCCTGGCTGGTGATTGGAACGTGTGTGGTTGGATTTCTGCCTGAGAGCAGGTAAAATAAACACATCAGTTCAACGTCTTGTAAAATGATAAAATACTTTTAATATATTTCATTTGGATTTTATGCAACTGACCAACACATAGAAGTGTGATTAAAAACAAATTTCTAAAGAGCAAATTGTTTTCAGATAAATTCTTGAAAAATGTGGTGTTCATTTGAATTTAGTCCCAATGATTCTAAACTTTGTAGAAACATATTTTGCTGTCATAGAGCTGCAGGTCCTATAGGGGCAAATCTCTATCAGCTTGGTACATCTTAGGATTTATTTTCTACAGCCTTATCCTACCCATCACATCCATAACCCCACCCCTAACCCTAACTGAAAGTCATTTCACACCTTAGCCCAAAACCTAACCACTAACCCGAAAACAATATTTCCCCTCCTGGGGACCAAGAAAATGTCCTCATAAGGAGCAATGGTCCCCACAAGAATATAAACACCCAGTACACATACACACACACATTTTTACTGACTATGTAACTTGCATTTAGCTTCACGTTTTATTTATTAGTATCAGAGGGATATGTGCTGAAAATAACTGCTGGCAATTCATCTAATATTTATATTTGTAAAAATACCTGCTTTGTGTTGGTCTCTCATGTAAAATACAATGAGGTTTAGGGCTGTATAAATGTAAAATAAATCAGAAGTGTGATGAGTATTTTGCCAGAGTGTATTTTGAATAGCATTGTTCTACTTTTAAAGCGTATTCTGAAGCCGTCCCAATTCTCCTGTGTTTTTCTACGTATCAGTGCAAAGAACTGGCTGAGTGAGCTGGTCCACCTGACCTGCTACAGGATCTGTGCCAGAGGACTGTCTGCTACCATCCACTACCACAACAAGTCAGTCACACTCCCAACTTCCAACACTTTACTGTACTTTTCATTTAACGTTGTTAGTTTGCAAAATGTAGAGATTAAAGAACAAAGTCTAAACTTAGACATTAAATAACAAATGATTTTCAAACCTTCTAATTTCTTCTTTTATTTTGTGAAATGAAATGATTGGTAGAAAAACAACCTAATAATAAAAATGTATTACGCTCTCATTAAAATTAAATGAAGCCAGATGCTAGATAGTAGTATTCAGGCATACAGACTCATATTCTCTTCCTATGCCTTATTGTTGATGTGATGAAAATGTTCTTTTCAGACCAGGAACTAAGATAAGAGGGCTCTTTAGAAGAATTTCCACTTTCCAATTTGGAAATTTCAAAGTTAGGAATTGTCGTTCAGTTTCCTGACTTTAGTCAGTTGTGTGAGATTCACATTGGCCTTTGTGCTGGTGTTTCTGGAGAGAGAACAGGCCTCAGAAAGGAGGAATATGTGTTGCGAACCACACTACCCCCATCGATGTGGTCATCCTGGCCAATGATGGTTGCTACGCCATGGTGAGTCTTACTTCTGGGGAATATCAGTGAGTCTGTGACTCCTTCTGTAATCCCACCTTGTCCACAGGTTGGACAGACTCATGGAGGTCTGCTGGGGATCCTTCAGAAGTCCATGGTCAGGTCCTGTCCCCATGTCTGGTTCGAGAGGTCGGAGATGAAGGACCGAAACGCAGTGACCAGGAGGTAACGACAAGGTTCACATGACAACAAAGAGCTTTGTGACAACTAGTTAGAAAAACTCCTAAAAAAACAGAACAACTAATGGACTTTATGTCCTATGGATCAATGTGACATAAAAACTAAGGCAGACAATTAGCATTAGCACTTCCCACTCAGACTTAGGAACAGGATATCTCTGAATTTCTGTCAGATGAGATTATGTGTTAAACATTGAGTGTTATCAGAAGTGTTGTCTTGATTCTTTCTGACACATTTGAGAAATCCTTGAGCAAAACACTTGAGCCTCCTTGCCTGCTGGTGTTGGTCAGAGGGTCCGATGCTCCCTCTGTCTGACTGCTGCAGGGCAACGGTGGCCACATGCAGCAGCTCACCACCTTCAGCATGTGAATGACTGAATGTAATGTGAAGTGTTTTCTGTTAAGGGACAGACTTGTCAAAGTACTACACATGTACAGACTATTTGCCATATTTCCCCTCCACTGTTGCTCCATGCATGCCCAGTATGAGGTAATGCTTTAAAGGCACCAACACAATTCAGGTGCCCTCTGCTGGTCCAGGAGGAATGAATTCTGCAATTCAATCTGCTGCATTTTCTTAGAAACGTCTGAATCCACTTTGAATAATTAATTACTGTGCTCAATTTAACTAGGATAAATTGGAATGCTTATGTGACTGGTTGAAATCACTTTTTTGAGATGACACTGTTTATAGGAATTGGTCCTATAAACAAACTGAATTGAAATGAACTGATGAACGTAGTGCTGAACAGGAAAGGCAAAATAAGGAAGGCAAAATAAAAACTTGCAAGACCATGAAAGAAAGCTATAAAAAAGATATAGAAAGCCAAGCAATACAAAACTAAAATCTCAAAATCACACTGAAGACAACACAGACTGCAGGAGCTGCATGTGATCAGCGCAGGCTCCCAGTTCAGTTCAGACTATCACACTGGATGACTCAGTCTGAGTCATGCCTTCAGCAAAAGGGTTCACCTAACACATGATTGGTCACACTCATGCTTTGTAACCACACTACAAGAAGAATACACTATGTGGTCACTGTTAAAGATGATTCAGGATTTATTTAACCCACAAACGAACCAGAGGTTGAGGCGCTCTGTGTGAACTCTCAATGAGGAGATCTGCTTTATGTCCCTGTCTCTGCAGATTGAGACATCACATCGCTGCAAAGACCAAACTTCCCATCCTCATATTTCCTGAAGGTCTGAGTTTTCCATCACATTGTACATATGGTCATTTCCAATGTTTGGTGACGTTTGTCTATTTGTTTCCAACAGGAACATGTGTCAACAACACCTCAGTCATGATGTTCAAAAAGGGAAGCTTTGAAGTCGGAGGAACCATTTATCCAGTAGCGATTAAGGTAGAAAGAACTAGTTGGACTTTCCTGGTTCTCTGGTTCAGGTTGAACGGTTTGCTTTGTGTCTGTTCCAGTACGACCATCGTTTCGGGGATGCTTTCTGGAACAGCAGCAAATACAGTATGCTTAGCTACCTGATGCGCACGATGACCAGCTGGGCCATAGTGGTCAATGTGTGGTACCTCCCTCCCATGTCTATACAGGTACTCACTGCTCCTTCCAATACATCGGACTGGCTGTGAGCACAATCACAAACTGTAACCAAGGCCCCAGCCACTTTACTGCTGATAGATTTTATGTTTTTGAAGAAACAAAAAGAGCAGAACAAGATAAAAACCATCTTACCATGGTGATGTCTGGTTTCTTCTTTCCTCCCCTAATCTGTGCTTCCATCATTCTGGGACATTTAGCATTTTGGACAACATCATGTGAAAGTTGATCTAGTGTGAATATCTCCTGCTGCAAGGCTGTCCAGCTGGCTAAATATGAAAAATACAAGTCTATAACATAGACATTGCTCTCCAAACAGTCGTTAGTCATATGAATATTGGGTTTTCCTTTTAAGACGGAACCTGTATGCTAACTGACACCTCTGTTCACTTTTAAAATCATTGTAGACATTAAAAATTATTGTTCTACTTGTGTGTCTTTTAAGTAAAGGACATAATCAATGAGAAGGTTGCAGATGAATGTAATGTCAGGGCTGGTAACAAACACTATTAATTCTTTCCCCGACATGTTGGTGTACGTTTCATTTTGACCTACAGGTGGCAGTCTTGTCCTTCTGTGAAGATTCACAGCCACAGATATTTCTTACAAACTCCACTGCTTCACTGCTAGACCTGTTCTAATGGTTTGCAATGAAGATCATTTCTAAACATTTCAGAATGTTAGAGAATTAATTGACACAATTTTGTTAAAACCATGTATATGTTGTTCATTTTGCCTCGAAAAAACAACATTGCACTTCATGCTAGCAGTCTGAAGTAGATTTTTGTAATAATGTTAATTTTCAAAAACATTTATAGACTTCAGAATGAGGTGAATTTCAGATGATAACCTACCTAGTAAGGTTATCATCTGAAAAACGGAAGGAGTAAAGCTTATGAAGAACCAGATTTCTATTTAAATACAGGCCAAATTAATCACCTAGCCTTAAAAGGGCAGTATTGTGTAAAATTTACTTTTTTGTTATAATGTTATTTTGTCATCAGTTGCCTAGATTCTTTCATGCATGTTTGAGAAATCCTTTCATCTCCCATGGCAACCATTCAACTGTGCAAAACGCTGACCGAGCTCCTCAGGGACGCAGCTCTTCCTCTAAGTCGTAGTTTCCAAGCCTCCCTGCTTCCACCTCACAAAGCAGCCAAGTGGGCTAGTGGACTCCTTCAAACTAGCCAGCAGCAACTAGTAAACAGCTGCTGGAACAGAGAATCTGCTGAACTCATTATAAGAGCTACTGAGAAGTACAGCATTGAACTTCTCAGAGCAACACTGGTAAAAACATTGTTAAAGGGTTAATAAAGGAGCAGAGCAGGAGTTTTTGAAGAGACAAAGGCCTGATTTCAAGGTATTAATTTACAAAGTCACATTTCTTTTAAGTCATATTTGATATATATAACATTTTTATAACAATTGAAGTTATCCCTCAAATCACCTCCACACATTTGATGGTGTTATAAAATTGCACTCTGTGCCTAGAAAATACATTATATTGTCTCTTTAAACTACACACAACACTCATTACTAATGCAGGCAGTGCAGAGACCTCTAAACCAATCACAATTATTTATCTGCATGTTTGCTTCTCAGAGTGAGATAAGAACTTTATTACTCTGGTCCACTTTTGAAAGAGTTTTAATATTGGACAGAGCTGTTTTTCACCATCAGCCACAAAATAGATTTTGCAATATCTTAATAAGAAATCCAAGCATATATATATGTGTGTGTGATTATAATTTACTGATTCAAATGTATTTGCTTGATTTAAGGATAAACCACATCTCCTGTGCACAAAATCATCCAACATGAAAGTTTCCATCCAGACCTGCCCAGTTCTTTCTACTGTGGGTCTGAGTTGCTATGTTTGGTTCTGACTGACTATTTGTGTTTTGTGAGCAGGATGGAGAGGATGCAGCTCAGTTTGCCAACAGAGTCAAGTCTGTCATTGCTCATCAGGGAGGACTGCTGGACCTGGCGTGGTGAGGATGAGCCTCTGCTCAACACACTGATTAGATCTGATCTGTTCTGTTCTCCAGCCTTAATTCATCCCACTGTGCAACTGAATATTGCTCTTAACTTACAAGTTGCATTAGTGAAAACCATCTAAGTGATTAAATGTTCTGCAAAGGTTTGAATGACAAGAAATAAAGGCAAAGAAAATAGCAGATAGGAAATAAAGCAGCTTATAGAACCTGGTGTGAACAGATGGACTCGTAAAGGAAGACGGATGATTATTATCCAGCTCATGAGACGTATGTGGCTAGAGTTCAGGAAGGTTAGAAGGTCACAGAGGCTAACATGGAAATGTATATGTGGGAAGTTCTCTTTCATTGTAACTGTGATGTGTTTGTGCACTGCAAACCTTTACTGTGGGGTGGCAGCCATTTTAAGCTGAACAGTTTTAAACATGAGGTTGTGAATGTGCTTCTTGTAGGGATGGAGAACTGAAGAGAGGCAAAGTGAAGGATTCCTTGAAGGAGGAGCAGCAGAAGATGTACAGCAACATCATTGTGGGACAAAACAACATCAGAACCAAGTAAAACACATGCAGCAAGACCAGAGAGGATCAATAATGCTGGATCAATGAAGAACGTGATCAGCTGTTAGCTTGGAAACGGCTGAAGTATCAGAAGCTGAAACTGACTGTTCCATTAGGGAGGACTGTGTTAATATTCCACCAGGCTTTTGTTTTCATAAAATGTTTTGAATGTACTTTGAGTTTGCGTGTGCGAGTGTATGTGTGCGCAGTAATGTCCATCCACCAGCAGGGAGCAGTGTGTGATAACATAGTCTTTCACTCCTGCTCCTCCCTGGATTGGAGGACATGTCCTGTTTCTCTTACAGGCAGTGTCACCACGGTGATGGTGTTCTTTCTGAGTAAGAATGTGGGATGTTATTTTTATAGAACTGTAGTTATAGAACAGAAAATGAAAAAAAATATTTCTCATAACAAGAAGAAACTGAAAGATTCTACATTCATTGGTTGATTTTTTTATTGTTATTTTTTTTACATTATATTTTCATGCGATCGTCACGTATTCAATGGTACTTCAGCACTGATTCCTAACTGTAGGGATGTGCAATAGATTGGGATTTTTTTTAAATGACTTCTTTCCTTTTTCATCCTTTTCAGTACAAATTACAATTACGTTTTTTCATTTTCACACTTTTTAAATATGGGAAATACTTTGTCATTTTAAGCCTGCACCGCAGAAAGGATAAAACTGTGGGGATTGAAATGGGGGAAAAAAGGTGAATTGGGACTTCTTTTTTCAGATAGTTCCATGTTTAGTTCACAAACCCTGGAAGATGTGGAAGGTTTAACATTGGAACCTTTTTTAATGTTCTGATTACCAGAATGTTACCAGAACCATGTTAATAATTATCATAATAAAATAAAATGATTTATAATACAAAGATAAAAATCACTAAGTACCTTACAGTAAATTGCAAACACAATACCAGTAACAGTTGAACATTTAAATTACATGAAAATTAAATCCAGAAATCCTAACAGCGTAAATTGTAAAACACTGATGAGATTCTTCTTGCGTAGCTCAATAAGTGAACAGCAGGATTTAAAAAATAGTCTTAAAACAAGAATGCTGTGTATTTACTGAAGAGCTCAGTTTGCACCTGAACATGATCATCACAAAACCTTTTTACGAAGACACATTAAACGACTCAATTAGAAAGTTACCACTAACATGACAATTATACTTTTCGCACATAAGCCTCTTTGATTTTGAAATATTTCCTAAATTAAAAATGAATCTCATATCAACAGTTTAAAATGGCAGTCTGATTAGTCAAACCAGATACCTGACTGGACAGCTTTAGTATGATATTCTGACCAAAAATAGAAGCATTAAGTGATTTTTTTATTGTCTGAGAAGGACAATAAAAATCCTGTTTGATTGGAGAAACGTTAGGTTTTCTAATCCAGAACACAATGAAGGGACTGTGAGATCTGTTCATTCTGACTGTGGTTCTGCTCTAATCAAACTCACGCTGTCAACACCGGATCCTCTACTGGAGATATTTCCTTTTAGGAGTGTTGCAACTAAGTATTTTTCAGAGTAAAAAAGTCAATTTGCTGTGTATTCCCAGAACATTAAATTAAAATCTTTATACATAAAATGTTTTTTCTACAATAATATTAAACCTCCTTATAACCTAATTGTCCAGAGACTGAATATGACATATCAATCGCATTTAATATAATGAGCGTTAAATCATCTTGAAATTAAGCTCATTTTAATTATGACAACGAGTTAGTTCATATTTAATAATTGTAATAATTCATATAACACAGTAGTGATAAAACAATACACAGTATGGAGAAAATTATCTAAAATACTGTGACTTAAAAAAAAAACAGTAAAAGTGCTGTAAACTACTTACAATGGTGAAAATATTAGTGATACTTGTCAAACCGTACATGTACTGTAAAATAAAAAAAGTAAATCACAGAACTGAAATACTGTGATTTATTTATATACTGAAACAACAGCAGAAAAACCTGCCTTCTGCAGACCTGACTGAACAACTGTTATAATTCCATAAATTTCATCATTTGTGAAGCATGCTGTCAAGGTCAATAATAATACATTCGGGATCATATTTTCAATTCTGTTTTATTTTTTTATTGTTTAATATCTAAGAAGCCGGTCAGAGAATGGGACATTTATTAAAAACTCAGAAAAGAGGTTAGGGCAGATCTGACAATTCATCACGCTGCCATGTACTATGACTAAAAAATATAAATCAGGTGGCACTGGATTTGAAATCACTATTATTATTTTATCACTATTCTGGTGATAAAATAATAATAATAAAAAAAATCAACATATATTTTATACACATCAATTATTTTAAGACATTTAAAGTATTTTTGTCACATATTTGCAATAATACTCCTCGTAGTTATTGAGGTTTCGCTTCAAAGAATCTTATAAATACATGACTTAATAATTCTCATGAAATAATTCATGAGAATTATTATGAGATCTGATGATAAACTGAATACAGTAGAGCTTTAAAATAAAGAGGCAACAGAACCTGATCCATTTAAAAGCCGTGTTTGTGCATTAAAGTGTCCAACTGTGATGTCGGCCAAGCTGGTTCTCCTGAACAGGACAAAAAACCTGTTGGTGTCCTTGTGAGAAGGAGATGCTAGATGAGACAGAAGAGAGCTGCAGATCAGCGCCGGTGGCAACATGTTTACTGTGACGGCGCTTTAATAAAGAAAGCAGAGGGTGTGAAATAGCATGGAGTTATTCTTCCACACACAAGCAGGCTTACATTTCACAGCCTCTCCTCCTCCTCTTCATCCGCCTGCCTGTAATAACAATCCCACAACTCAAATTGCTTGAACAGAAATGTTTGTTCTCCCCTAACAAGATTGTGAATTATTAATAGGATCTAAAGCCGGTTCTATAACCCGATTGTTGAGGTGGGACTCTTGGCGAGCGATGCTGCACCATTCACCATTTACTGTGATGTATGTGTCTGCACATCTTTATGTCCAATTTAATGTGATTCAGATAGATTTCAGAGGGACATCATAAAAGGCATTGGAGTGACCCCGACTGTGGACTCCATACAACCACCCCGTCTGTCCCAATATGTTAATTCGATTTGGTTCAATTTTACTCTTACCCGCAGCTGATCCATACAAATTCAATGCAGGTACACTAAGTAAATATGAATACATTTCCAAATTGAATCCAAGTGAGTGTAGTCTGCAGAGGACATCATTTTAAATGGTGCTGTGCTGGGAAGTGAGCGGTCACAGGGTAAATGACTGAGGCTCCCTCTAAGACTTGCCATTAGTTGGAGTGTAATGCCTTTAAATACATTGTTCTGCCATCTATTCTGTGCTGCTGTGGTAATGTATGTGATGCTGAGGAGGTACAATGCAGCTGCAGGGAGGGATCAATACAAGTCCTGGGATGTGCCCACTGTGCTGCTGCTTCTATTTAACTCTGAGGTTAAACACAAACCTGCATTAAATGCTAATTTCATGCTAAGGCATTTCATTCACTTCATCCACACCCATCATACCCGTCGCTCTGACAACAAACTCTGGCTTTGGACAGCAGCTGTTGGTTGCAGTCTCCAGTTTGTGCCACTAGATGCCATCCCATCATTTCACTCAACATTTAAAGGAGGGTAATATGTAAAATCCAAATTTCTTTAGCTTTACATGAGGTTGTAATGTTTTTCCCTCATCAAAAACAAACTTGGAGTGTTGCTTAGATTCTTTCATGTGTGATTGAGAAATCCTCTAATCTCCATGGCAACCATTCTGGGTGCATAAACATTTGCTCTTCCCACAAAGAGACTCCAGCTCCTCCCTGGAGCTGGAGTCTCCAAACCAAATGTCTGCTTCACAGAGCACCTGTCCATTACACTGCCCCAGCTCTGCTCCTCCTGACTAGCAGCAGCAATTAGCAAATATCTGGTGTCTACTGATCTGATCACACAAACTAGTTCTCAGTCCAACACTCCTAAGAATAGTTGTTAATGGCATCATAGAGAAGCATTACTCTGATGGCATGCTGAAAGTGGAGTTTCTTAAAGAGACAGAGGCCCAATTCCAAAACATTAGATTCCAAAGTCATGTTTTATGTGCATTTTCACCACTGAAGATAACATGGTTACTTGATTATGCTATAAAATGACATTAAGTGCCTTGAAAATACATAACGATGCCCCTTTAAAGTGTTTTTCCACAACATCTTGGGGTTTAAAATGTGCAAAAATGAAAATAACAAGTGAAGACACTCTGCAGGACGATGGAATGGATTAAAATCCAGGCAGATGAAAACACTTGGTGCTATGCAGCAGTTTTCAGACTTCTGCTAGAGAGATCTGCCAGTGGCACAAACCCCAGACCAGACACAGCCTCTGACCAGAAGGGCCAAACATGAGACTATCAGTGCCCCCCCCAACTACCCCTCTTTTTGCATACTCTAACCAAACAGGCTTTAATTGGTCGGAATTGATCTCTTTTGCTCTGATTGGGCTTCAATTGAGGTGAAAGTTCTTCAAGTGGAATACTGCTTAATTTGTGGTTAAATTCCAGTTTTCTTGTCTTGGAAAAAAAAATGATGCAATGATTGGATGGCAGAGGTGAGTCTCTGACCTCCTCCTCCAATCACGTTCAGTCCTCCTCCTGTTTGTTATCCCAGGAATCATCTACAAACTGTCGGCTGGCTTTTAGTGAATGAGATAGTGAAGGCACATGAAAAATGTCCTCCGGCAAGGTACATGAAGGTGTGAAATTGCAGACTCTTCTTTGCCCTCAGCCCTGTGCCTCAGAAGCTATTTCTTCTTTTATTGACAGCACGGTTGAATTTAAGCCTGATGGCTGCCACGTTCACCCCCCCTAACCGTCCCTCCTGGAGTCTTGATTGCTTTTGTTTCCAGGTCACCTCCTATCTATTGCTGCAACTTTTCCAATTTCTCAGGGCTCTTTGTATGAAGACAGAAGGCGCCGGCGTCACCGGCTCTCCAGGAAATATACATAAACCTCAGCAGAGAAATGACACAGAGGAAACACAGAGAAACCTTGTCAGTTTCATGCTCGCTGGGCAACACGCATGCTGTCGTGGCTGCTGCAGACACGACTTCATCAAAGCAACAATCAAATAAAAGTCCTGCTTCATTAATATGGAATTATCTCAGCATTAAGATTAATTGCATTAAACTGATGAGAGTGTGTTCAGTGTGGAGGGAAGCTGCAGAAATGATGGATGATGAGAAGCATGATGAATGGAGAAAGCAGCGGAACTAAATTGAAAGTGTACTCATCCGTTCCCCCCTCACAACTAATGATAAATTGAGCGTGTCACATCGAACAATACATGTTGAGCTTTAAACATGGCCCCCTCCGCCTTCTTTTCACCCCTTCATCCATGCAGGCCAGCGTGGCCGACACCCTCCTGCACTGGTCTCCATGTGAACTTTCTGGGAGTGGTTATGTTGTGCTCTATTTGTGTCCTTTGGGAAAAAAAAAACTGATGCTTTAAATATGGTGACAAAAACATTATGGACCAAAATACTTTTCCCAATTGCTGCCTGAGCCCAATACCAACTTCATCTTACTAGACACAACAAATGCTTGGTAAAGGGACAGTATTATGTATTTTCCATACACATAACTATTCTGAAGACAATGAGCTTAGGGAGCTGAAATGCAGGCAGGATGCTGCCTGACATGCTGTTGGTGGCCTGCAAGGTCAGTCCAGGACCACCATTCAGTTCCCTTGAATGAGTGTGGACGTTACCTTCTGCTTATCAAAGCTGTTTCCACTGTTTATTAACTCATATTAAGGTATATTTGGTGTCATTCCCAAAATAGGCAAATATATGCATTATTAGAGGGGCTCTCAAGAAACCACATAGTTCAGTTTGCTGGGTTCTGGGACGCTGTTGTGGTTATACTCCATAGTGCATTCATATAAACGTTTTAATCTTTTCCCATCATTAGTAAAAGTTTGTGTATTGGTTTATTGGCATGTGTTTTAGCTACTGAGCATGTGTTTATGCTAGTTTTATACCTAGCTATGAAAAACTACAAAAACACAAAAGACACCAGATTCAAAACAAAAAATATAAAAAAAATTAAAAACACATTCTTGTATCTACCAAAATAGTTAGTAAGTAAATAAATAAATAAATAATAAAGTGCCACTATAATATTTTTCTTTGCACTTCTCTGTCAGGATGTTTATGTTTACGGCTGTTCAGGCTTTGCTTATACCTGATGTAAGATGTCTCAGACAGCAGCACGGTTCAGTATCTCTGGGTTTCTGCTCTTCAACTGATTTCTCTGCCTGTGTCTCAGATTACTTTGATCATTTCTAAGATCAATCAACAGGATCATTTCGGAACAATTTATTGGCTGAATTCAGCTTTTAATTATTGACAGACCACAACGATGGACAGGCAGCCAAAGACACAGATGATCAAAGTTGCATTAAAAACATGTCTGGCCCAAATCCAACCGACAGCCTGTGCGGTAAATTATACTGCCATCTGTGAGACTCCAACAGACGGTAGAAGAAGAAGAAAATGATCAGTCTCCATTCAGCCAGTTTACATCACAACACTGCAGATCGAAGTGGTACCGGGGCTGCTGACATTTCCTCAAATTTCCTTGACTAAAAAAAGTGTTTTGAGGATTTCTCCTTTATCTGAGTCAGAAAGCATAACCATGATGCTGCATTACCTGCTGCCTTCTTATGCAAACGAATGATGAGATAACAGAAAGTTTTGCTACAGGAGGCCAGATGCTGACCAACTATGATCTGGGAGGCTCCACTGTGCTTCTGCAGCTCTTTGGCATTTGACCTGTTATTTTTCACTGTTAGGAAATGTGTCAGACAAGAACTTCCTGTTGACCATAATGTCCTGGTC